CAGTGGCACACTGATCCACCAGTGATGATCTCTCCGGTCAATCATTGCGGGGATCGTCCGTACCCAACGGCACAATGGACAAGGGACACTGTAGGAGACGTTTCTAAGCGAAAAAGAACGCGTTAAGCGAACCGATGGTTGAGGAGACTTTCTGATGCGATCATGATGTCAGAGCGGTCGACTAGGCTAAATCGGTGGTGCAGGAAGCAGACCCATGTTCCTGCCAATCCGCATGATATTGTGAGTTTGGAAAAAGTATGAGAGAAGAAATATTAGGAAAGACCTTTATTTCTATCGGAGGTTGGTGATTGATTCTTTCCTGGCACGTCGTCGACGCAGCGGGAAGAAAGAGAAGGGTGAAAGATCCCGAGTCCCGACTAGCCGTCCGTCCACTCTAATTGGCATTGGAGAAGAAATCCGACCGATGCTAAGGTAGGGTAAGATTAACGTGGGCCTGCCCTGCCCTCTCTAACGCTGACCAACAGAATTTCCCCTGGTCCTATTTTTCTATTGTCTTTCTCTGGGACCCTTATGACTTGACTTACCAGAGGATCTATCCAAAGAGAAAGAAAGTCTGCATGACAATACTCACTACGGAGTAGCTGTGACTGATCGGGCGACCTGCAGAAGGAAGCTATGTGCTCTGCTCTCTCCTAGTCTCAAAACCAAAGGATTCGCCTGTCTGCTCTACTGGTCATCTCGTCGTCTTGGTTTTGATTCTTCCTCTGGTTTCGAAGAAGCCCTGTCCTACTTGCTGTACCAATCAGACCAGTTTCTCTCCCCCCCCCAACATTTCTCATCTTTTTCCCCCCCCCCCCCCCCCTTTTTTTTTCCCCTTCCCATCAAACTATGCGGTGATACAAAAATGGATGTCTTTAGAAAGATATACTCTTTCTGCAGGATAGGTTACGTGGCTCTCAGCACCTCTTTCTCGCTGGATGGTGGTCTAGAATCGTCGTGTTGACCTCCTCATCCCGTTGTCAAGGGCGTAGCTATAATGAGAAGACAACTGATGGCCGCTTGAACTTACTAACGTAGCTCGGCTGACCTCCAGAAGCAAAGACGCGTCTCTGCAATGCCATCTGACCCGCCTGTCCCGTCGTCCATTCCAGGCGGAATTTCAAGCTAAACGCGCAAAACCAAGACGTGCACCTACCCCTGACAATGTACCACTAACTGAAGCAGCTGAAGACCGAATACGGGATGATCGTTTTTAGGCATTGGAATTCGCGATCCGTCAACCTCGAAAAGATGGAGGCGCGACGGTATTGTCTGGGGTCAACGTCCCTTTCTGCCTTACTCAAGTCACGGAGACAAAAGATGTTACACAAACTGTTGGTGGGCACAATATGCTCGGAGAAGCGCCGCTGAGCTCATTGACTCACCGGTGCCATTGAAACACACAGGAAGAACAGGACGAGGTAGATGTTCAAGCGCTATGACCGTCAATAACGCATACTAAACTATGAATCCCAATGCGATTTGAGAATCCTAAATAGTTTTAGAGCAGTCGGCCTATTTCTCGGTTCCCAGACAGAACCAACCCATACAATTCTCCCGATAATGTCTGGCCTGGATCCAGTATCTACTGCCTCGTCCAACGGATTTCAGTCGCGTCCTTCCTTGCTTTTCCTGGCTGGCACCTGAAACTACATCTGTACATCCTTTCATTTCCCTGGACCGCGCCATCGTTGTACGTCTGTTTATCTTTCTGCCAGACAGACGATGGAGCTCTCTCCCTCCTCTGTCGAGATATCCGTCGAACTTAATGGAATATCATTATTACGTTGAATCTTGCGCGGTATGGCCAGCCTCTGCTGCTCGGAAGGAGGATATCCACAATGTACATGACTAAAGGCCGACAATGGTGATGCAGAATAACACGCCATACGGGAACTCCTCATTAGAATCGTTTCAACGCACCTTCTGCCATGAGAGCCAGAGGACTTTCCAAGAAGTCTTGAGGTTGAACATGAGGATAATTGCTGTAGGCATCTTGACATCGTTAATCCTATACTCAGCTGCTGAAATTCACTTGTAAACAGGAGTAAACGGAAGTCATCGAGCTGGTGTCTTGCGCACCTCCGGCATCAAATCTGCTTCATGAGAATTGACGGGGCTTCACTTTGAAGTATACTTCATTTTCTTGCGTGCTTTCCCTTGAAGGTAGTTCCAAGGGCCTTATCATCCTGTAATAGCAACTGGATAGATTATTGTCAGAAGAAAGTGCAGCAATATCCGTCATACGCGTTCTTTTATATCACACTTGAAAGCACCTGAACGTTACCTTCGATATCGTGTGTGTGGTTGACTGCGTTCTGATTGGTCAGAGGCAGGTTTACTTAGTTCGGCGAGTGCAGCCGAGTTCTTGGCACTTCGGACACAACACCATCGAGCGGCCTCAAGCAGGTTCAGAATGCTAAGAGCTTTGAAGGACGCGCTGTCACATGGTCTGCCGGGCTGTCACAGAGAATATATCGATTTCGATCAAAGCGATCGAAGTGTCATGACTCATGAACCGGCGGAAGAACACCCACAGCGCGGAGACAGAAGAATCCTCCAAGCGGAGGAAGTTCATTGCGTGCGTCACTATCTCTCTTGGCCAAAGTATGGCATCTAACTCTCGCTTGCGATGACCATTTAGTTGCCAGCGGTGTCATGCGCATAAGATCAAGTGCTCTGGAGAGCAGCCATGCGCCAAATGCCGCACGGTGGGTTGTGCAGACGAGTGCGCATATACCCAACGCGATCGCCAGGTCAAAGTGAGCGAAAGGTATGCGAAGGACATGCCAATTACAGTTTTCATGGCTCTCGAACGAGCAGGTTTTATTGCTAACTATGCGTACAGCTATCTGGAAAGTCTGATTTCGGAGAATCGACGTCTAAAGGAACAATCCACCCCCTCGGCAAACTCGGCCGAACCGACCCATGACGCCGAAGCAAGTGAATCACGACTCACAGAGCAGCCAGATGAAAGCAATACTAGTGTCCGTAACCCATTGATCGGTGACCGTGCATGGTTCCATCCGTATGACCCATCCGCACCGCCTATCCTCATCGGCGAGGCAGCCTGCACGGCTTTTGCTACTCGTTTCCGTCGTTTTCTGACCGGTAGTAACACGACCCCTCATATTCCTCGGATGCAGTATGTCAAGGAAGCGAATATCGCAGCGGCCAACGAGGCGTATGTACAGTGGGCGAGCCTTCAGCAAGCTCGACTTCTGGTGAAGATCGTGCTGCGTCAGATTGGATGTCTCTATCATCTGCTACTGCGTAAATCGACATTGGAGAAGCTTGAGGAGATATATCGCACGGGTGACTTTGATTGCAAGGTCAACCAGTGCAAATTCTTTGCTCTTTTCGCTTTTGGCGAAGCTTACTCCATCCGTACAGAACCGCTGTCCGGGTCGAGGGTGCCGGGGACTTCATATTTTGCGCGCGCCCTCAGTTTGGTTCAGGTATTGCCAGAGAGAACAAGCATTACCCATTTGGAGACGCTCTTGTTGTTGGTTTGTTTGTCCCTGGTTCCCCGCAGATTCAAGAAGAAAACTGATCATCCAGTCATTGTTCTCGTACTATCTCAATCGACGCCACTCGGCGTATGTGTTGATCGGCAGCGCGATGCGCTTGAGTCTGCAGATCGGGTTGAACCATAACATCCCCGAGTCGCAGCTCATCGATCCTGTCGAGCGCCAACATCGAGTGCGAATTTGGTGGACGATCTACATTTTTGATCGCATGTGGGGATCAAAGATGGGAATGCCATCCCAGATCCTTGATGATGATATCCACGTGGACATGCCATCCAGGATAAGCCCGGCGCAGTTGCACGATGAGCAATTCTCGGACCCAGACTATCAGACGGCCAATATAGAGCTCGCTCGAATTGTCGGCGAAACTATTGCAAAACTCTACAGCCGACGAAAATACAGCGAGACGTTTCTCCAGCGCGTGCAGAAGCTACTGAAAGCATTGAAGAACTGGGTAGATACACTACCCGACCATTTGCGGCTGAACGAAAACGACCCTGAGATGAACACGAAACATATCAACTCTCTACACCTGGCTTTCAATCAGGTATTTGGCTTCCTCCTCAACCGGAACAATACTGACTTGAACAGTGCGTTATACTCACAACCCGCCCGACCCTCCTCCATCTCCTCATCAAAGTCAGCGAGTCCGACACCACCCCCACGAGCAAGGACAATACCATCTCGCGACCCGTCTGGACTCTGGGTGAAGCGTGCATACATGCAGCGCGCCACAGTCACTCCCTGATACTCACGCGCTACATCAACGGCTCCGTTCCGGTATTTGGCTATTTCCACGCGCACTACCTCTTCTCGGCTTCTTTGGTGCTCGCAATGTCCAGCTTGCTTCCCATCGGCAGCCGCAACGACCTAGGCGCCTTTGAGACCGGTCTGACTGTGCTGCAGTCAATGAGCGAGAACGGCAATCTTGCGGCCTCGGAATTCTACCAGAATCTGGAGCAAGTCAAATACTGCCTCCAACGGTACGGGGACGAAGGGCGCAGAAAGGAAGCGAGGGTAAACGGAGCAGAAGCGCTCGGGCCAGGAAACATCCTGGCCTCGTCTGCCGGTCCAACGCTACCTCATACAGATGAAACGGATCCATTGCAACCGGGACCAGGGTCGATTATCAGAGCGGACAATGAGCTTGAGGCAAACACTGGCCCAGGGTACAATGGGTATGGCAATCTAGCGCCTGGGATTTCGATTCACGACGCCGCAGTGGGATTCCCAACAGCAATGACCTTTCTGGAACCAACAATGCAGGACTTTCTCGCGCAGTCGGATTTCGATCTGGGACTGTTGCATTCGGTTGACACGTTTATGAACGACACGGAGAGCATGTATACGAGTCATGGCCTATAACTGTACACAAGGTTGGCAAGAGCAACGACTATGGTATATGGATCTATATTCTATAGTCTATCGTCTATCGGTCATCACTCGTCAATCAGCGCACCGCGACGCAATCTAAAGCCCACTCTTCCCATCTAAATGAAACTTCTCCCCAGCCCACAGCTGCATAGCTTTTCCCCAGCGCGTGATACAAAACACAATTCCTCCGCCGAGTAGGGACAAGATCACACCTTCAACCAGTCAGTTCACCTCCGGAATCGCAGCCTCGAAGGGAGTGTCACTCACAGATTGTAAACGTCCAGCCCACCCCGATCACCTTGACCAGGGGAACAACGGCCGAACACAAATACTGCACGATATACTTCCCACTGATAAACTTCCCACTGATAACCTCGGACCGTCTTTCGGGGATCGCCTCTACCACATATCAACATCCGCATCACCTTCACCTTCACCCAAGGAGAACTCACCAGCAGCATACGTATTCAACCCATTAAACGAACCCATCAGTCCCACTCCCGCCCAAAACGCCGCAATGACAGGCACAGCCATGCCTCCCGCCCGCGTCTCCAGCGTCCACCCGTAAACCAGCACCGCGATGGGCAGCACCCCGCACAGCGTCGCCAGCCCGCTGTTCAGTCTATCCTGCGGAAGACGCAGCCCCCCGCGGCGAGCGATATACCGTTTCACGGTGCGATCAGACAGTCTTCCGCCGACGATACTCCCCAGGAGGAATCCCGCGCCGGGGGCGAGGTAGAAGAGGCCGCTGACGAGGGCAGAGGAGAGGTTGAAGCGGGGGTTGAAGATCTCGCGGGCGGATGTGAGAAGGGCGTACTGGAAGACGGCGAGGAGGCCACACGTTAGATCCTGTTTCATTCAGTCTCTTCCTTCTTGTCAATTTCTGGCAGGCAGGTACATACGCATAGAAAGACGTTAGGATACAGCCACTGCCGGAAGATTCGCACGGGGTTGAACATGGCACGGGGTTGAACATGGCGAGGACATCTCGCACGGAGGAAGGACGTCTTTCGACACCTTCAACCAGAAATGTCACAGAGGTATGTATACCTACCAATCGCCGGCCCCGTCACCGTCCCAGCCATGAAGAACCCAACCGCCGTCCCCCTGACCTTCTATCAATCAATCAGCCCTACCACCCAAAGAACAAAAGCAAAGGAAAAAGGAAAAGACAAACCGCCTCAAAAATATCCGCCAGAACAGTCTGCCCCTGCACCATAAACGACGTCCCCGTCAACCCGCCCAACACCCTAAACACCGTAAACACCCTACTCCCCCCCGCAACCGCCGTGCCAACCAAACACCCGCAAAGCGCCCCAATCGCAATATTATACGCAACCCTACGCCCCAGCAGCGCAGTCACCGGCCCCCAAAGAAGCGACGAGAAGCCCATGGCCAGCAGGACCCCCGCGTTCGTGACATTCAGCAGTTCGGGCGTGGTGCGTAGCTCGGCTGCGATCTCGGGGGTCGCGGGGAGGAGCGACGTGCTGGAGAATGTGACGACGAAGGTCATCCAGCTGACCACGAAGAGGATAATGCATTTGCGCCAGAGCGGGAGGGGGTGTGTGTTTTGTGTGTGCTTTTCGAGGTCGAGAGCTGCGGTTGGGTTTGGGGTCGGGGTTGGGCTTGTCATGACTTATCTGTTTTCTGTCGGATCCCGAACCCATTGGTCAAGAGCAGTATCAATATCAATATCAATCGGATTCAGTCTAATTCAGCCATGCTGGTAGAGGAATACGTGAGATAAATATTTACACTGACGGATTCTTTTCCGGAGCTGTTCGGCATGCCGAGTGTCAGGCCGAGGATAAGTCTGCAAGATCCACCCTGTTGCGAGTCATACTTCGGTGACTGGCACCGAGACTCGGCCACCAGCACAACCCCCTTCTCTGATTGTAGCTTCTGGGATACTCCGACCTTCCACTTGCACTACAAGTTTGGGAACAGTTTGTGGGTGGTTAGTTGGTCTATCATTTCTTAACCTCTTTCTTCCAAATATATCTACTTGTCAGTCCTTTGGGCTTTAATTTCCAAGCTCTTCCTTGGCAGCAGCTTAGATTGTATCTACTCTGGGTCCATGAGCTACAAGTGCAGTAGTGTATTAAATCATTCATTTAACTAATGTCCAACAGACCGCAAGGTGGTCAGGTATAAAAGCAAAGTTCCTGTCGAAAGGAATGGAAGCACCACACTACTTGCTAAAAAGTATGTACTCAAACAAAAAATCTAGAACCACACGAATGACAACCCCTCTACTGCATCTGACTCAAATCTGTTTCACCTACAGCACAAGCATACCGACACCGGCAAAGAGAGCAGTGGCAATGTAGGCTCCAAACTGCCAGTTACCAACCTTGACAGCCATGGGGCTAGCGGCAATACCAGCGGCTCCCTTGGAAGTCGCACTGGCACTGCTGGAGCCGCCAGTGGCACCGGCGGTCACGGAACCAGTGCCAGCAGTTCCGGCCTGGTTGATCAGAGAGGAGCAAGAGCCCGAAGCATCAGCAGCCTTCTGGGTCTGGGCCTTGCCACTAAAGTCACAGGCGGTCGCAGCCTTGTTGTTCTTCTTGTAGTACTGGTTCATGACGAAGGAGAGCTGCTGCTTGGGACTGCAGACGCTGTAAGCTCCGTAGTCACCGCTGGTCGAGTTGGAGTTGATTCCACCGCAAACACCGGCGGCGCAGAGGTAGTCGAACAGGTCGCCGTAGTTCTTCTCGTCCACAGAATCCTTCACCACGCAGGACAGAGTCTCGACCATGCAGTCGCACAGTTCACTGTTGGGAGTAGGAGGCAGCTTGTTGGAGGCTTCCCACTTGGTACCGACCGAAGGGCAGGTAGGTGTGGCAGTGTTGGCGCTGTAGGTTGCGCTGTTCACGCCGGTGGCCGTCACCTTCTGCATCTCAGAGGACAGGTAGGAGAAGTCCTCCTTGGTCTTGACACTGTCGCCGCTGACCGAAACCAGACCGTAGTCGTTGGCCTCCTGGAAGTACATGTAGACAATACCACCGCTCCAGACGTCGTTCATCTGGGGACCGAACAGAGCGGGGACATCGGTGAACTTGCGAGGCTTGGGGTCAATGCAGCCGTACTCCGAGAAGAAAGCAGGGACCGGGTAGTTGGCAAATTCCTCAGTACGGTCCTTGTAGCCAGACTTCTCGAAGGAAGAATCACCGCACCACTCGTAGATGTTGTAGCCGAACATGTCAATAGAACTCGCCTTATCACCGCAGACAAGGTAGTCAGCCAAGTCGGCACGGATATTGGCGTCGTCGTCGGTGGCGTATCCGACAGCCAGGGAGGTGCGGTAGTTCTTGGACTTGATGTACGACTTCATGTCTCGCACGGCAGCCTTCACGTAGGCAATCGAATTGGTGTTGTTGTTGTCATTGGCGACCTCGTTACCCGCGAAAAAGCCAATAACATTGCTGTAGTTGGCAAAGGCGTCAATGACGCTGGTGTAGCGCTTGTACAGGTCGGTGTTCCAGGCAGGGTCCGCGCGGTTGATGGACTCGGATGGCGCAGACAGGTCGGTAATCAGGTAGATGCCGGCATCGTCCAGGAGCTTCATACATTCGTCATGGTTCTGGGAGGGATCGACCGCATAGGTACGGACGACGTTGGTGCGCAGCTGCTTCAGGTAGGGAATGTCACGCTTGCAGCTGTCCACGTTGGCCAGAGGATCGGTGTAGTCGGAGTTCTCGGAAGCTGTGCCGTTGGCCTGGTACTCCTCTACTCTGGATTAGTCTCGGGACCGATTGATGAAGATCTCTTAGGACATACGTTGGTAGGCAACACCGCGAATGAAGCTAAACCCGGTCAGTCACCACAGAACAAAGACGCTGGAAGCGACAGGCAAACTTACAATTCTGTTCCGTTGTTGGAGTAGAAGAACTTGTTGCCCTATATCAAGTACATATGAGTTAGTGTCCAATGCGATCGTCCAGTGAACAGGCCTTCAGTACCTTAGTCTCGATGGCGGGCAGTGTTGCGAGGGCGCTGCCCACGAGGGAAGCTCCGGCGGCGGCGTAAACAAACTTCATGTTGTATGTGATTTAAACGAGTGCAAACTCAATTGTAGATGAAAGATGATGTTATGATCTGCGAAGAGTGGGTTGATCGTCTTGGTCCGCAAACCCAGTTGATATCAAACCCACAGGGTCTTAGGATGAAAATGACAGAATATGGACAACGAGTGACTGACGGCAGTTACACAATAAGCCGTTGGATGGTTGGAGTCCCAATAGGGAAAATAGAATACAAGGAGGGAAAGAAAGGATGTCGAGAGGATGAAGGAGGAGAGGAAAAAGAAAGTACGGGGATGACAGGAAGAAGATGGGAAAGGAGAAGCTGGAGCAGGCACCAAGGCAGGCAAGCACTTGGGAGGACTAGAGTATGTATGGAGTAGTAAGCAGCCCCTGTAATACTAATATTACCCAGTCACTACCTAGTCACTACCGTAGCCGATTATAAATAGTATACTTGACTATCAAGCATCCAGTTGATTCTATGTAACATTGAGACATCCAGTGAGCAATGTGGACTGATGATTGGGCGTCTACTGACCCGAGTCCATCTTCTTACAACAGCTGATGGAGACCATTGTTGCAATTGTCTCACTTGAGCGTATCCAATGTGGGAAATGTGGTGTATCGCCAAGCACCTTCTGTTTGTAAATAATGATCATTCAAGCAATCAATGGGAGGGGAGCAAATGATACGTCCAGGGACAAAGGATTGACATTCTCAGTGATATAACTGCGGGGCCTTTGAAACTTAGCGCCAGGGTCCTGGGTGCTGATTCGTCGTTAGGATGGGGCTTGTATTGTAATAATGGAATTACGGAGAACCCTGTATGCTTACCTTTGCCCAGTTGTCTTGTTGAAGTAGCTTGGTTGGGAATAGGGGCATCAATGTTGCTTCGCTCTCTCAAGTACCGGCTTGTCAGGCTTGTCTGGCTTGTCCTGAATCTTGAGCTCCTAAGATCGCCAATTTCCATTATGTGAGCATTGGTAAATCTGACGAGTTCAACTCGAACACCTGCAAGTTGGCTTACTACCACCGCAAGAATGGAAGTAAGACTGAAGTACTTTCGGAGAGCTGATTCAAACTGCATATTGTGCGAGTCCTCTTTTTTGAGCTGTATTTCTATCCTTCCATGTTAACAGACTACCTAGCGATACACACCCTGGGCAATACAATGTCTTACCAGGGACCGGCGACCAGGGTTTCAGGGTCTGGAACTGCCCTGAAGCCCACAGTAATAAAAATTTTCAGTCTGTTGTACTATTAGTCATCTGAGCATAAGTAATTTTAAGCAATGGTTTTATGCAATATGCAACCATGTCCTTAAGAGACGTATGCACTGACAACAAAGCACTCCCATTTGCAATGAATGTCTCTGCTTTTCTTTCCAGTCTCATAATTTGCAGATGCATTAAGATGAATTACGCTGCGTTGCTGGAACCAGATTATATAGTTGTACCGCTGCAACATATATTCTTAAATGGGTTTCGTTTCGGCAGCGGCTTGTTTCATCTAGAGAGTGAGAATCAAGGATAAATTTACATAAACTACAAGGCAGCTGTGTTAAGAATGACAATGACTACAGACAGAACTGCTCACAATCCCACCACATCATGGCGCAAGGGTCAGACACTGACGACCTAAATTCAGCAGCTGTCTTGATCAGCAGACTGTGACAGGATGCAAGTGCTACTGACGTGTCTTGTTGCACGACAACTTGGGTATTGATGATTGCACACTATTGTAAAGTCAAAATTCAAATCCAAGAGGCGGTCAGGTTCTTGCCAGCAGTCGAAAGTCCAGAGCTGATCCTTGAGAAGTTGAGGCGAAGATTGAATACTAGAATGTGGCTGATGTGTTCATTGTGGCTGGTGATATGGCTTGGTTCCTGGACTTGCAGAGTTTGGACTCAATCTATCCCAGACCCACAGATGGTACTGCAATCAACCATGATTCCATGAAACTCGGACTGCTGACCTCTCCAGGTCCTGTCTTCATACAGGGTGATCAAACTGATCAAAAATCTGATAACCAATGCGTCTGCCTTTTGCGAGAGACGCAGCATTTGAAACAGCTCTCTCAAAGTGCACATGCTCCAGGGGTATCTACTGGCTTTTCCAGAATTGAGAGCCAACCTTAATCGGTTAGGATATGATTATTAGGATCTACTAAGGAGCCACTATTACGACGTGGTGCTAGTTGCGAATAACTAACTTTACTGATGCGGTGCCTCATAAATCAGAATCAGAGCGCCAATAAATAGGAGTGCATCATCATCTTTGATGACATCCAACTGATACCATCGTAGACAACATCCACAAATCATTTAATCACTGCTGTATTGTACCTCTCTACTCTTTGCAAATGTAGAGAGATCTTTCATCTGATAAGGGGTGCTGGCTTGTCCCAGTCTCGTTGCAGGCTTGCAGCAGCCACATACTCAATAATGACGGCTCACAAATCTCCGCGCGTCCAGGATACGCTATTCTGATTCCTGAGGATCCAAACACGCTTGTTGTGGCTGTGTATCACATTCGCCAATAATAATGTCCTCTCCATAACGACGATATTTGGATCTGTCGACTAGATGAAAATCGCCAAGCAAAGGACA